TCCCATTCTTGACTCCATCATATAGAAAATGTGATTTTAGGGGGAGTTTTTTTTTTGCGTTTTTCCAAAAAATGTCATCTTGACCTTATAAACCGCGTTGCAAATCCATTTTTTTGCATTTTTTTACTGTTTCTGCAATTTTCCCATGGGTCTGCCATTTGGGCTGGCGCCTGCGGGTTTTGGACGGGTGCCCGCATTTCTTCTGGGTTGCCCAGCGCCTTTCCCACTGTTTTGCCATTTGGGCGGGTGCTCGCGGGTTCTGGGCGGGCGCCCGCCTTGCTTTAGGACCTGCACCTCCAACTTCGGATCGTCATATTTCACTCGTTTCAACTCCGAATTGGTCCGTTCTTGAGTCTTAACTGACTGCGTTGAAATAAGATTTCCAATGCTACCAATTAGAGCTTTTGATTCCATTTGTATCTCAAGATATTCAAGTTTTAGTAAGGTAGTTTCTGTTTTTGGTTCGAACTGGGATAGGGTTTCCCTTCCTTCGATTTCAAAACTTGATATCTTTGTCATCCGGACTCCGAATAATGTGATTCTTGAGTCCATCTTTGTTAATTTTTCATTGTCTATCCAATGGTATACAGGGGTACTCATTTCAGTTTGGAAATGACCGTTTTGCCCTTGGGGCTTAATTGTTATCTTTTCGATCTCCTACTTCCGCACTTATCCCTTTGGGTTCCGTAACCTCATGGAAGGTCATCTTAGGGTCTTAGAGGTGTGTTATGCCTTGGGAGACCGTTGTCTTGTTTTTAACTTCTACATCTTGGATCTAGTTCGGGTTATCACAGGACACACTAGGTTGAAAAATCCAGGGTCGTCACACATATAATCAATTAAAATGTAAATTAAATAATTAAATAAATCATTTTTAAATTCTCAAAAAATTAGGGATATTGCATGCCCTTCAACACAAATGGCAAAACCGGGAGAGGTTCCTTAGCCCCAAAAACTCGACTCACAAAAAATTCTAAAAATGATCCCATAAATTCTAACATGCTTAAAATAATTAAAAATGTGTTTCTAAAACTCTCGGCTCAAGAAAATAACTTAAATGGCCCTAGAAGCCCGCATGGCACGTAAAATGAGGCACAAAAAATAAAAAATAAAGAGAAATAAAAAAATATACGGGACATTACACCACTGCCATTGGGGCCGTCGATGTAATCCAAACCTCTACGTCTACCTCTACCGCCACTGCTTCCCTCGTTGAAGCCACACCTATCACCCCCTCTTCCATCACCGTTGTGGGTAGTACCTTGGATTGGCAACTCGTTTGGGCCGGTGACGTCGACAGCTCTGATACGAGAGTCCCAACCATGGTTGACCAAACACTTTACCAACTCGCCTTGCATATGAATCTGAAAGCCCCCGGATCGGATCGAGGACTTGAGGAACAATAGATCACCGCTGCCAATGTCTAGTCTGAAGAACCCAAAGCCCCCCCTCTGTTGTGGTTTGTGGAGTCTAATCGCGTGTTGATTACGTAAAGGATTTTAGAGTTTCAAATTAGCTGATTTTGGTGTCTAGTTTTAGCTACTGGCATATTGGAATAGTTTCTGTGTAATGGAACGCGTTCTGCGTGTGGCGTTGCAAATTTTGATTTTGGCTACTAACAAATCGAAACAAGTTCTGAATTATAGAATAGGTTCCACTTAGAAAGTGAATTATTCTACGTAGGTGTATGACAACCGGAACATGTTTCATATAGTGTGGAACATGTTCCACTCAGTTAGGAAGTTGCGAAAAGTGTTTTCCTTATTGGTTTTGGACTATAAAAGGCAAGTTCTTGTAAGACAAGTTTGGTTATATTGTCTAGGACTATATATATACAACCATAATCAGATTTTAGGGTATTATGACTATGATGATCATTATTCTTAGGATATGAGAGGTAAGATTTGTGCCAACATAAGAGAGAGCAATTGAGATAAATTGAGAGAAAATTCTCCATTGTACTCTTTATCTTTTTCGTAGTAGAATTGTTCGGTGCGCTCCATGGATGCAGCCTTAATCTTTGGGTGACCATGTATATCTTGTGTACTTGTGTGTGATTATTTTTATTTTTCGTGTTTTCTTGTGTTTATTCCTCGAACAACATTGTTTTTTTTGTGTTTTTTCGCTAACAGCTAGTGTCAAAGCCTTTGGTATCAGAAGGTGTTTGATGAAATCCTAGAAGTATTTCATACCAGAAATTTCCGTTCGAGTAGGAGTAATGGCATCAGAAGATAAAACATCCATATCCATGATCGACAAGTTTGATGGCACAAATTTTGGATTCTAGAAGATGCAAATTGAGGATCTATTGTTTGAGAATAATCTGTATCAACCTTTGGGAGAGAAGCCAGAGGATACAAATGATATGGATTGGGAACTACTTGATAGGAAGACTCTTGGCACCGTCAGATTGACGTTGTCAAAGTTAAAAGCCTCAATATCAAGAATGAGAAGACAACGACTTCAAAGACGAGATTCGAGCACTGCTAATTCTAGGGCAATTACCCTAGAGTTGGAGTGGCACAGTTACAACGACCAGTAGCTCTGCAGGGAAGACCAAGTTGAAGTTTAATGAAGTTGTGAGCATGATTCTATAATACCCTTAATTTTTAGAGCATTTAATTTATTATTTTAACTGTATTTTAGTTATTTTAGTTGGTTAATTGTTCTTATTAAATGATTAAGTGGTTATTTGATTAATTTGGTTAATTAGATTATTTAAATAATTTAATGTGTTTTACTTGTCATTATTTGCTTATGTGAAATTTGCTTATTTAATTAATTATTTTATTTTATTTTAAGTAATCATGGTTTGGGCTAATTGAAGAAATTTTAGATAAGTTATTTAGAATTATGGTCCATGAAAAGGTATATATATTAATAAATATATAAATATATTTATATGTGTGTGTGTGTGTATATATATATATATATGTATGTATATATCATGTGGATATTGATTTGGTAAAATAATATGTATGGGGATATTAATATTACTATTATTATTTTAGTTAGTTTTAGGTTAGGATTTGTGGGTTGGTATATATATATATATATATATATATATATATATAGTGGTAGTTAGAAGAAGAGGTTTTTTACATATACGTGAGTTATAAAAGAGGCAAAGATCTAGAGAGAGAGAGGGGAGAAGAGGAAAAAGAAGGTGACTATATATATATGTGTGTGTGTGTGTGTGTGTGTGTGTGTGTGTGTTTCGCATTTTTTTCTATTTTTCTAGTTTTTTTTTTCTAATTTTTCAGATTATTTTATTTTTGTGCCTCGTTTTACATGTCATGCATCGGTTAGCGTACCACGAGGGTATCAATAGTTATTTTGAGTATTTATTTGAATTTAGGACTTTTAGAAATATATTTTGGATTATTTTTGCATTTTTTGAATTTTTGGTCTGTCCCGAATGGGTCCTATGCCTAGATTTACGTGTTTTGAATTTTTTTTTTAAACTTATTTAAATGTTTTATATATTATTTGAAATGTATTTATGTGGTTATGTGCTGAATGGTATCATTTTAACATATTTAGTGCATATTTTGGTCTAAAGAGCATTTTAGTCATTTGGTAATCTAAGGTGGATCCACCATTGACCAAGGCATTACACAGAGGACTGAGAGTCCATTTTCTGCATAAATTCTTCTCCTCCCAGCCACAGCCTTCTTCTCTCTAGAAAGCATGTTTAGTGCATTATTAGGCCCAGAGGGGCATTTTAGTCATTTGGTGGTCAAGGTGGATCCACCCTTGACCAAGCCACTTCATACGGTACCAAAGGAGTCCATATTCTCCAGATTTCTACTTCCTTCTAGCCGCAGCTCCTCCTCCTCCTCTCTTGAATTCTCTCTCTCTAGAACTCCATTTTCAAGCCCATTTTTCTTCCTTTTTTTCTTTAGTTTTTTATCTTGCCATTGAAAGCAAAATTGATGAGCTCATTGAGAGCTTCATTTTGATTGGAGCTGATTCTCAATTTGGCAACCTTGGATTTTCGAATTTGAGGGCTGTTTTGGGGGTTTTTTGCTTGATTTGATGTAAGGAATTTTCTAAACCTCAATTCCTTTGTTCTTCGTGAATTTTCTTCTTTAAATTTGCACTATAGCATGTTCAGATTTGAATTCCTCTTCCGGTTGTTAGGGTTTGAATGTAGTAACATGATGATTGTGTTCTAGGTGGTTAACGTGCAATTTACATGTTTAATTGAATAATAATTGTAAGAGGTGTGAATGTTTTGAATCAATACATGTTTTCTATGTTTAAGTTGCCATGGTTGTGATGCTGATTTTGTGCCAAAAAAAATGGTTATGTTTGCTATTTGAAAACTGCCATGTTAATTTACTTGCAAGGCATGAGTTACTTAATTGAATCATTGTAAAGAGGTATGAGTGTTTTGAATCAATACATGTTTTCTACGTTTAAGTTGCCATGGTTGTGATGCTGATTTTGTGCAAAAATGGTTCGGTTTGCTATTTGAAAACTGCCATGTTAATTTACTTCCAAGGCACGATTTATAGAAGTGGGTTTTGATTTAGAAAATTCTAACTGACATAATGGAGTAAATCACTTTTATTAGTGGAGGGGTTTTTTAATTGTAATGGGGATTTATGCATAAATTGAAAGTACAAGGGAGTTTTGTGATTTCCTCCCCCCACCATTTTTTTTTTTTTGACTTGTCTCCAATTTTGATTATCTAAAATATGAAATGTATACTAATTGACCCAAGTTTTTGAGTTTTATTTATTTTTCATTAATATATCCATGCTTACCACACAAAAAAAAAACTTGTATATATATATATATATATATATTGCAAACCATGTGAACAACTTTTATAATAATCTGTTGTAAAATATGAGTGGCCTACTTGGGCAAATTACACTAAATTTGACCTTAATCATGGGTTAAACAAAGCATTCAGGAAACAGACTATTCGGATCCCAAGAAAAATAATACTATTGAGATTAAAAAAAGAAAAACATAAAAAGGAAAATTAAAAAAAGAAAAACATAAAAAGGAAAATTAAACCTTAATCCTTTTACAAGACTGGTCGAAATAATATTGGATATAATTATGTAACAGCTCAACTATTTTCTATACAATTATTTTCCTATAAATTCTTCAACAGATCAAGTGTCCAAATAAATAAACTATAATTGAGTGTACGTTGTTGAGTTTATGTTCTTGATGAAATAAAAGTCTAGCAACAATCAGCACAGACTTAATAGTAACTTCAGGGCTCCCAATCAAAAACATTTACTATTAGTCTGTAAAAGGAGTTTATGTTCTTGATGAAATAAAAGTCTAGCAACAATAAGCGCAGACTTAATAGTAACTTCAGGGCTCCCAATCAAAAACATTTACTATTAGTCTGTAAAAGAGACTAATTTCATATGTTTTAGAGTTTATAGCATAAACGAGAAACTAAGTCACTTCAATACTGACCAGGTCTTGGAAAATGAATGGCCCATTACCTATTGCCTACAGAAGATAAGCATACTTCATCTATTTCACTTGATCACTGGCTGAATCAAAAACATCAACATCGAATTGCCCCTCTGGTCCTTCAATGTTTGTTATGCCTATTGTAGAGATATCCACCTGGAATAGAAATATCAAGCAATTTACGATAAGCATGCAATCAGTAAAGCAGCATGATGCAATCTAGGAATATTTTTAAAGCTTCAGAAGCAGGTCATACATCTAGTAGGTCTTTGGCAATCAAGTACTCCTTTATTGTTCTCGCGTTCTCTAATATCTTATCAGCAATTCCCTCTGGTGCAGGTCCACCATCTGCGGTGTTGTATTTAATTCCCAAATCCTGTATAAAAATGACAATAAGAAACAAAAAAAGTATTAGAAAAAGAATCAGAGATTAGCTATCTGAAAACTCTAATTGAAATTTTTTGCTATTTCACTGCTCAAACGGCAGATCAAACATCATTGTTTTCTCCTTAGAATAGACATTCTATCTTTCAACATCAAATGTGTGTCAAATATAGATAGATGAATAGACATCAAATAAATAATAGATATAAAAATACAATCCACAAATAAACAAAAAACATAATATAACCAACAATATGGCATTGTATCATATATGGATTTATGTTAGGTATATGAGTCATGTATTGGCAATTTCACTCAAAACCTAGGTTGCATTGTGTCAAAGAGTCATGACCTTAGATAACCTAGCTTTGATATTAGTGAGGCCCAGAGTGTTAGTTCAAACTTGTTTTTGAAAAATGACTTTTCAAAGTATTGAAATCTGAAGAGGAGGTTCTAAACTAAAGTCTTTATTGAAGAACAATGAGCATTGAGCAGGCAATTGACAAAAACACAAGTGCTTGGGCCACATTTTTTCTTGCCCCCCTATGAAGACCATTACTTTTCTCCGATCATAAAGCTCCCTGATCCCTTTATTTGTCTTTCATCCCCCCTGAATAAATGTTCTTTCTAATTCAAAAAAGGATAATAGGGGCGCAAGATCTTAAACTAAACGATTGTTTAGTTCTCTTGGGATGCGGTCCCCTTTTGATCGCTTTTCTATGCAATCTTACCTACCAAAAAAAAAAAAAAAAAAAAAAAAGGATCTTAAACTAAACTAAATGACTCCAGTGTAAAAGTATTTCATACCACATTAATCAAACATTTTGAAGTAACCATAAACATCCAAACAGAGGTTTTCAAGCAAAAAATTATTGGCAATGACATAACTCAGCAAACAAAGAATGTAAGTTGCATGCTGATGTTAAGAAGTCTACTTTAGGAAATAAAAATTAGTCCATTAACGTGTTATTTGACTTACAGATAACGTGTAAAACAAATTAAACAATAGATGCCTTGTATAAAATATAAGGACCAGAAAAAAATTATTGGCAATGACATAACTCAGCAAACAAAGAATGTAAGCTGGATGTTAACAAGTCTACTTTAGGAAATAAAAATTAGTCCATTAACATGTTATTTGACTTACAGATAACGTGTAAAATAAATTAAACAATAGATGCCTTGCATAAAATATAAGGACCAGAAAATTAAATAAAAGACATTGTTCTCCCAGCTGTGAAACGTGACAAACATGGAGCAATTGTTTTCAATTACTGCACCCTTCAAGATTTTGAATAGACAATCTTTGCATCCCCTAATCCAGAACATAATGTGACAGAATGTGCTAAATGCGAGATGCATTCCACCACTATCTACCACCAATGATAGATCACCAGTTTCGCCATATAAAAATTAATGAATGAAGCAAATTTGGCTAGTAGTACCTTGGGACCACCTGGGTTATGAGTTGCTGTCAAAATGAAAGCTTTTATTGGCTTAGATCCCTGCATTGAAATTTACAGAAGTTCATAGGTTGTGACTTACTTTTTAAAGTTGCAAGATTCAAATCCAATAATCTTACATTTGAACCAATTCTTTCACGTATAACAGTTGATGCAGCAGGAGTGGAGAGCAACCCATTATGACCAACCCAAACATGTCTCACTCCATTAGCAGCTGCCATCTTAATTATAATCTACCATTTTTTTCAAAACAGAATAAGTAGATCATATGACAAGGTCAGGTCAATAACCAAAGGCAACCATTATTCAAGGAAACAAGGTCTATTAAAATGTAAGTGAAGGGCGTGATCAAGATAAACATTGTTTTGAAGTTATACTGTAATTAACACCATAAGCAATGGAGAAAAAGATTGTACATGTATATATATATATATACACACACATATATATTTATATTAGTGTAAGAGGGACCTTTATTCTAAGAGAGTGGAGTTGCAGTTGTAAGAAATACTTTCTCCAACCTTCTTTGACAATCTCAGACATGGTAATATCAGTTTTCTCTCTCTCTCTCTAACTAAAAACACTCCTGACTTTATTATATTGCTTCAGCAGAGAAACGATAAGAGAAAAGAGGAGAGGGGTTCAACGAACCAGAAAAGCGTTCAAAAGAGGAACGCGTCCCTAATACAAAAAACGAAAGCTGAATCTAAGGACCAATAGAGTCCAAAAGATCAACTAAGTCATCAGTCGAGGAGCAAGCGTTACCTTTCACATAACAGAAAATAGAACGAAGAATATGAATTTTTAAGGTCGCCAAAAACGATTCCTTTCCTTTGAAATTTATGTTATTCCTCTCTCTTCAAATACACCACCAAACACAGTGTGGAGCTATCCTCCAATATTCACGAGCGTGACTTTTCATTGAGCATCTTCTCCACGCGTTAATCAGTCCTCCATAGGACTGAGGCATTACTCAATGTACGCCAAAAATGCCGAAGATGAGGTTCCAACTATCATACGCCACAGGACAGTGCATAAGAATGTGATCCACAGACTTGCCATCTGTTTTACATAGACAGCACCAATTGACAATAGTGTTGCCCCTCTTTCTCAAATTGTCCAACGTCAAAATCTTGCCCCAGACGTCAGTCCAAACAAAGAATGCGACTCTAAGTAGAGCCTCAGAATGCTATATAGTCTTCTATGGGAAACCATGACCAACGAAATTGGACAGACACAAGAACATGGACTGAACACCAAATCTACCATGGGTGGAAGGGACCCACAAAATGTCATCACTACCTCTGCCAACATCCTTCTACTACCGATACAAAAAATCCAAAAAAACACATATCTCGTCCATCTCCCAATCCTGAAAAGAACGCCTAAAACGCACATTCCACGTAACCCAACTGCTATCAAGCCAATAACAATCAGCTACGCAAGCGTGCCTATTTTCGGCAATACTATAAAGTCTAGGAAAAGAATAAGACAACAACTGATCTCCACACCATAAATCCTCCCAAAAGCAGACACGCCTGGCGTCACAAACCTTGAATCTGATGTGTGAGGAAAAGACATCCCAGCCTTCCGAATGAATTTCCACACGTCGACGCCTCCCGCAACAGAGACTGGACTGGAGGACCAGCCACCACTCTCCTCTCCAAAACGACACAAGACAATCCTTCTCCACTGGCGATATCGTTCCCTACCAAATCTCCATAACCACTTTCCCAATAAAGCTCTATTAAAAGGAACCAACTTAAGGATGCCTAAACCGCCTAACTTCAAGGGTTTGCAAACTTGCTCCCAGTTAACAAGATGATACTTAAACTCCTCTCCCCTTCCACCCCATAGAAAGTCCCTTTGAATTTTTCAATCCTTTTAGCGACAGAGCATGGGATTTGAAATAAAGATAAAAATAAAAAGTAAGTGGGAAGGGACGAGAGAGTACTCTCATGGGATTTGAAACAAAGATAAAAAGTAAGTGGGAAGGGATGAGAGAGTGCTCTTAATGAGAGTGACCTTCCCCCCCCCCCCCCCCCCCCCCCCCCCCTCAACAGATATTGTTTCTTCCATCCTGCCAACCTCTTCTCATACCTATTGATCACTGAATCCCAACTCTTCACCCTCCTAGAGAAAACCCCTAAAGGCAATCCCAAATAAGGAAGAGGAAAAGCACCCACCCCACACCCAAGAACTGCAGCTAAGGAGGAAATATCTAGAACATCCCCCACTAGGACAAGCACACTCTTTCCAACATTGATTTTTAGCCCCGAAACCGCTTGGAAACAAACAAGAATGCACCTCAAATATCTGAGTTAGGAGACATCGGCATCAAAAAAAAAACCAAGGTATCATCTGCAAACAACAAATGGGACATTTCCATCTGATGAGCTACATCCCTGCTGACTCTGAACCCCTGATATAACCCAAATCCTTTGCTCTCCTCATTAATCTGCTCAAACCCTCCATAACTATAAGGAATAGAGAAGACGACAAGGGGTCTCCTTGTCTTAAACCTTGAGAGCTCGCAAAGAAACCAGCAAGACCAGCCACCACTCTCCTCCCCAAAACGACACAAGACAATCCTTCTCCACTGGCGATATCGTTCCCTACCAAATCTTCATGACCACTTTCCCAATAAAGCTCTATTAAAAGGAACCAACTTTCGGATGCCTAAACCGCCTAACTTCAAGGGTTTGCAAACTTGCTCCCAGTTAACAAGATGATACTTAAACTCCTCTCCCCTTCCACCCTATAGAAAATCCCTTTGAATTTTTCAATCCTGTCAGTGACAGAGTATGGGATTTGAAACAAAGATAAAAAGTAAGTGGGAAAGGACGAGAGAATACTCTCATGGGATTTGAAAGAAAGATAAAAAGTAAGTGGGAAGGGACGACAGAGTACTCTTAATGAGAGTGACCTTCCCCCACTTTGACAGATATTGTTTCTTCCATCCTACCAACATCTTCTCATACCTATTGATCACTGGATCCTAGCTCTCCACCCTCCTAGAGGAAACCCTTAAAGGCAATCCCAAATAAGGAAGAGGAAAAGCACCCACCCACAAGAACTGCAGCTAAGGAGGAAATATCTGGAACATCCCCCACTGGGACAAGCACACTCTTTCCAACATTGATCTTTAGCCCAGAAACCGCTTGGAAACAAACAAGAATGCACCTCAAATATCTAAGTTGGGAGACATCGGCATTAAAAAAAACCCAAGGTATCATCTGCAAACAACAAATGGGAGATTTCCATCTGATGAGCTACATCCTTGCCTACTCTGAACCCCCTGATATAACCCAAATCCTTTGCTCTCCTCATTAATCTGCTCAAACCCTCCATAACTATAAGGAATAGAAAACACGATAAGGGCTTTCTCAATGTCAAGTTTGCATAAGACGTCAGGGACCCCACTCTTTAACCTGGAATCTACACATTCCCCTCCTATAAGAACAGAATCCAAGATTTGCCGTCCTCCAACAAAAGCATTCTGGGACTCCGAAATAATTCCATCCAATACATTACTTTTCCTAAGAACAAGAACCTTACCAATGAGCTTGTACATGCATCCCACTGAGCTAATTGGCCGTAAGTTAAAGACTAAACTCATTGCATTCAAGATCGACTTCTCTCTCTAGTCATCAGCCAAAGTCTTCTAACAAAGATTATAAGAGAAATGGGTCTTCCTATAATTTCCTACCCTACCCACATGGTAGGAGATGATAGAGAATGTAGAAAATGCAGCCAATAATATACATCAATAATACGTTCAAATGTTTAAAGTGAGGAAACCACAAGGTTGAAACCCAGTTCAACTGAGTCAATGGTTGAGGTTGAACCAGCAAGTTCGGTCTCTGTCCTGAAGAAGATGTTGCTTTGTGTCTCATGATGCTGTCAAGAGATACTTGGAGTACTTCATATGAATTAGACGGGTTCAAACTGAGTCAGACTCGGGGAAAGTACCAATGTGAGAAGTGCAACAAAGTGTTTAGATCATTTCAATTTTCAAGCATTGGGTGGTCACAGAACTAGTCATAAGATCTTGAACAGCTTTCAAGACCATGAAGATGAGTTGAAACAACCAGAAATGATAATGCCTATAATGCTGATCATAGTTCTAAAGTGTTTGGGACAGGTTAAGCACTTGGTAGGTGCCCAACTTATGATACCCATTGATTTCAGAATCTTATAATTTCATGCGATGTGATGTTAGTATGTACTCCCTCCCTCCGTCCTATACTAATAGTCCAGCTTTCCATTTTGAAATGTCCCATAATAATTGTCCTATTTCAAAAATCTTTCACTCTATTTGTAACGTTTCTAATTTACCCTTTTTTGCATTGAAAGGATAAAAGTAAAAATAAAATTATTGTGGGCACCCCCGAGTCAAAATAGAAGGTAAACATGGAATTCCATTCATGCCAATGCAATAAAGTAATATTAAAAATCATTCTTTTATAAAGTGGAAATTTAAAAAATAGACATGTAAAGTTGGACAGAGGGAGTATCACATTAGGAGTGATTCATAAGAGCATAAAAAATCATATTTGTAATTCAGGAAAGCATATAACAAGACATAACTATAATACTCCCAATTAAGAGGGAGGGGGGGGGGGGGGGGGGGGGGGGGGGGGGGGGAGGAGTACTATATAAGGTACCTGGATGGCATCTTTTGAGAACTTGTGACCGTCACTAGAAACAACTAGTGTGGCACCTGCATTAATGAAAAGGCAGTTATCCAATGAGAAGCAATGATAACACATGATACACATTGTTTAAGGAATTATAGTTTTAAAGCAACTTGAATAACCTTTTCTTTTTTATTATTATTATTTTTATATAAGTAGGAACTTGTATAATTTTTTACTTTGAATCATATACTTTAACTACACTTTGAACTCATTCATTGCATACCATGTAAAACTAGTGTCTTTTCAAACATACAGGAAAGCCACATAATGACAAAAAAATATATATATATATATGATAATAATAAAAAAAGAAAGAAAAGCAAAGAAACATTATTCCTACCTCTGACAAAGTCGACTGAGAGAGCATTGAAAGTTGACTGAATAAAGTTATGCCAATAATTAGTTTGCCCGAATGCTTTCACCTGAAAATTCAGCCAACATCTTTATTTATTAGACTAAAGATTCCATTGGTAATAAAAATTGGCTAGAAAAATGTTCCTCCAACATAGGTAATCTAATGATCTCCTCTCAATGTTTAACAAAATAAAAATTGGAAGAAATATTTTCCAAAAAAATATCCATAAGACGACATCATGTATTTTTTTAATTTTTTTATAAGTAAACATATATTAACAAACCGGAAAGCAATAACACACCTCCAGAGCACAGACCTTTCACATCTAAATCTCCACAACCATTTTTCAAACAAAGCTTTATTAAACATTTCCAACCTGCGAATTCCCAAACCTCCTCTTTTAATAGGGGTGCAAACTTTCTCCCATTTCATAAGATGGTACTTGAACTCCTCCCCTAAACCCTCCCACAGAAAGTTCCCCTAAATCTTGTTAAGTTTACTGATCACTGTTCTAGGAATCAGAAACAGAGACATAAAATATGTAGGAAGATTAGAGAGGGTGATTTTGAACAATGTGAGTTTACCCCCTTTCGACAAGTATTGCTTCTTCCCCCCGAATAACCTCTTTTGGAAGCGTTCCACCTATCCCAAATAGAAATTCTCGTCGTAGAAGAACCCAAGGGCAGCCCCAATGGTATCATATATGAAACCATAATAATATTACAAACATATTTTGTACATTATGGCTTGCAATTACATGCTATCAGATTATTGGTTTCCTTCAAAGTATTCAGGAGTACAGCAAAGACCACATTTTGAAAATAAACTTATGGTCTGGATTATAGATACTACAACAAAATAATGAATCAATGTTTTATTCCATATAACTATGATGACAGTTGTAGGTGTTGAATATATCTCACTTCACATGGCCCACATTTCTTGGTTAAACGATCAACAGACTATGCCACATCATCAATAATGGCTCACAAAGCTTGGTCAAATGGTCAACAAGCGACGCCACATCAGAAACGAGGGCCCACAAGTCAAACGGTCTAAATTACGTGTCACTTACCACATCAGTATACCTCGAACAGAAGATCGAAGACTTGAAGACCTGAGTTGGGAGCAAGACTCAGGATTGCTTGGGATCCGAGGAGGTTCTTGTTTTGGTGGATGAAATTTAGGGCTCGTCAAGTCGACCCTCGACCTAACTCGTAGAGAGATACCATTTTGACTCCCGTACATTTTTTACCCATTTTAATTAACATTATTTTATAATGCTAATGGGCCCACATGTGATGTCATGTGACATCACCCAACCACTCACTTGGCCTATGTAAGGAGGTGATCCAAGGCAAGTAGAAGGTAGAGCAAGAAGGGAGGAGGAGATAACCTCTCATGCTTTCTCCTTACACCTTCATTAAGGGAGTCAATGGTGTACTATTACACTGCCATCTTCACCCTCTCTCTCGAGTTTGCCTGTGCTTCCACCTCTATCAGTCATACACAAATCTAAGTGATTCGGACAATATAATAGAATCCAAAGGTGGACTGAGAGAGGAGGAAGCACAGGCAAACACGAGAGAGAGGGTGAAGATGGCAGTGTAATAGTACACAATTGACTCTCTTGATGAAGGTGTAAGGAGAAAGCATAAGAGGTTATCTCCTCCTCCCTTCTTGCTCTACCTCCTACTTGGCCTTGGATCACCTCCTTACATAGGCCAAGTGAGAGGTTGGGTTATGTCACATGACATCACATGTGGGCCCATTAGCATTATAAAATAATGTTAATTAAAATGGGTCAAAAATGTATGGGAGTCAAAATGGTATCTCTCTACGAGTTAGGTCGACTCGACTCGCCCTGAACTTCATCCACCAAACCAAGAACCTCCTCGGATCCCAAGTAATCCTGAGACCTGCTCCCAACTCAGGTCTTTAAGTCTTCGATCTTCTGTTCGAGGTATACTGACGTGGTAAATGTCACGTAACTTAGACCGTTTGACTTGTAGACCATCGTTTCTGATGTGGCATCGCTTGTTGACCAAGATTTGTGGGCTATTGTTGATGATGTGGCATAGTCCGTTGATCATTTGACTAAGAAATGTGGGCATGTGAAATGAGATATATTCAACACCTACATTTAGTCCTCTTGTGCAAGTGAGCTTTGTAGAATTCGTAGAACGTTAGCCGTGCATAAATGACTCAAAAGTGGTGCTGATGCAAGGTTTTGCTTGACTTGGTGCGATACCGGGGTTTGGTTACTTGGAGTGATAACAGGGTTTGGTGACCTAGTGCGATACCATGGCTTGATGATCTGGAGTGATACCAGGGTTGGGTGACCTGGTGCGGTACCGTGGTTTGGTGACCTGGAGCGATGCCAGGGGTTACTAGCGAGTGCGAGAGTTCAAGTGTCAAAGAGTGTGCAAGCCAAGTAGATGACGCGAAACACTACGAAACAAATGAGAAGCACGAGTTAATCCATGCTAGCACAATCGAGTGCGAATGAGTACTGGCACGATTGAGGGCGATACATTAATGGCACGAGCGAGTGCAAATGAGTACTGGCAAGAGCGAGTGTAAGTGAGTACTGGCATGATCGCGTGCGATAGAGTACTAGCACGAGAGAGTGTAAGTGAGTGTGTAAGCCAAGTAGATGGCATGAAACACTACGAAATAAATGAGAAAGCACGAGTTAGTCCATGCTAGCACGATCGAGTGTGAATGAGTACTGGCACGATTGAGTGCGATACATTAATGGCACAAGCGAGTGTAAATGAGTACTAGTAAGAGCGAGTGTAAGTGAGTACTGGCACGATCACATGCGATAGAGTACTAGCACAAGCGAGTGTAAGTGAGTGTGTAAGCCAAGTAGATGGTGTGAAACACTACGAAACAAATGAAAAGCACGAGTCGGTCCATGCTAGCACGATCGAGTGTGAATGAGTACTGGCATGATTAAGTGCAATACATTAATAGCACGAGCGAGTGCAAATGAGTACTGGCAAGAGCGAGTGTAAGTGAGTACTGGCACGAGCGTGTGGGGTAGAGTACTAGCACGAGTGAGTGTAAGTAAGTGTATAAGCCATGTAGATGGCGTGAAACACTACGAAACAAATGAGAAGCATGAGTTAGTCCATGCTAGCACGATCGAGTGTGAATGAGTACTGGCACAATTGAGTGCGATATATTTATGGTACGAGTGAGTGCAAATGAGTACTAGCAAGAGCGAGTGTAAGTGACTACTGGCACAATCATATGCGATAGAGTACTAGCACAAGTGAGTGTAAGTGAGTGTATAAGCTAAGTAGATGGCGTGAAACACTACGAAACAAATGAGAAGCACGAGTTAGCCCATGCTAGCACTATCGAGTGCGAAAAAGTACTGGCATGACTGAGTGCGATATAGTAATGGCACGAGCGAGTGCAAGTGAGTACTGGCAAGAGGAACTGCGAGCAAGTGTGCAAGCCAAGTGGCCAACTTGAAACATGACAACACAAGTGTGGTATGTGTAGTCTCAATGCTTTATATAGTCCCCCTGTATAGGTGGACTTTGTAGAAGGTAAAAGGCTAGTTGTGTATAAATGATGCGTCGGCCTGGTGACCTAGGTTGGAATGTTTTATTTTTCAAAGTTTCTAAGTGTTGTAACTCGAGAAACGTTTGAAATGAAAACATTTAATGAGAATCCAGTCTTTCTAAGTGTGAGAAATCAAGAAAGGTTTGAAAGGTCGGGCTTGTGGTCATTGGTTAGAATGCTTTATCTGTCCAAGTTTCTAAGTGTTTCAACTCGAAAAACGTTTGAAACGAGAGCATTCAATTAGACTCTAAACTTTTTAAAAGTGTGAACTCGAGAAAGATTTGAGGGTCAACCTTGTAGCCTTGGTTTTAGTACTTGAGGACTAATTGTTCAAGGTTTTAGCACTCGAGGATGCATCGCATCGCTTAGGTTTTAATACTTGAGGACAGATTGCTCAAGGTTTTTGTACTCGATAATGGATCGTATCACCTGAGGTTTTAGTACTTAAGGACGGACAACCAAGGTTTTTGTAATCGAGGATGGATCACATCGGTTGAGATTTTAGTACTTGAGAACGGATCGCTCAAGGTTTTGGTACTCAAGGATGGATCACATCGCTCGAGTTTTTAGCACTTGAGGATGGATCGTTTTGGTAATCGGGGATGGATCAAATCGCTTAAGGTTTTAGTACTTGAGAACGGATCGCTTAAGGTTTTGGTACTCGAGGATGGATCTCATCGCTTGAGGTTTTAGTACACTACAAGAAAAATGCTCTTTTACGACTTTTAATTAACGACATGCATAAAAAGCAAGCCTTGCTAAGTACTATTTAAGGCTTTATGTTTTGGGCAAGTCGTTAAATGTTATATTCACGGCTTATACTTAATTGCCCATTTAATTTTCTTTTAAAGGCCTATCTTTTTTATTATAACGACATGTTTGTTACATCGTCGATATTTGGCCCAAAATTACTTCAAATTAACACCATTCCCTCGGTATTTACTTAAGGGGAAAAAATTCCCTCCCTATAAGCCCACTAAAACAAAATGATAGGCTTGTTAGCGCTTGAGTTATCAGTTATCTCCCCATTGTAAACCCTAAATTTCAGCCGCTCATGGTTGATCCCTTCCAAACAATAGAACCAGAATCCTTCCTATGACCCAAGAATCCTTCTCCGTTCCAAGGGTAAACTCTGTTGATCTAGATGCAAGGAGTAAGCTTGGCTATGGCTTCCATTCCTATTGTTTTCACCGAGGTAGGGAAATCAGATAGAGAGGGGAGGGCGGAGTATCCCTTGGCACGGCCTGCAAAATGGAATGAATGAATTCTAACTTCCTTAGCTCTCTCACGCTCGGGTAATAGGAAAAGGCTGGATCAAAAATGTTTTCGAAAGGCGCAATAAAAAGCTAGACCTTGGAAAACAAATGCTCAAAGATAATTATATTGAGTCAATACACTGAGAAAAGAGGCGATTTTAGTGAATTACCAAGCATCTGGCAAGTAAGAAAGTGAAGTGAGGACCAAACCTAAGCAAGTTAAAGTATATTA